GTGTCTGGCTGGCGACTCCTTACTCTGCTCTTCCTCTTCCCAGAATTCTCCTCGTCTGCTTACCCCACCTATACTTCCTGCCTGGCTACTGGCCAATCAGCATTTTATTTATCAACCTATCAGAGCAATACATATTCACAGCATACAGAACAATATTCCACAGCAGGTAACCCCTCACCCACACTTCTGTAAGTAATCCCAACAAACTTATTGCTTTACCAGGTTGAACTTTTGCGGTATCTTGGTCTGTCTTTGATTCCCTGTCTGAGATGAGTGGCCGGCCACTTGTTTACATCTCCCCAGGAACAGTATCACTCAGCACGTCCACCACAGCACTTCATCTTTAATTAATTAGTTAAATGAATATGGATGTTTTGCCCCCTTGTGTGTCTGTGCACCATGTATGTGCCATGGAGGAAGTCAACGTCACATCTCCTGGAACTGGAGTCACAGGCAGCTGTGAACTGCTACATGGGTGCTGGAATCAAACCCAGGTCCTCTAGAAGAGAAACCAGTGTTCCTAACCACTGAGCTACCTCTTCCCTCCACATAGCACTTTGAATCATAACTTTCCACCCATACCCCAATTGTCACATTTTCATCCATAATGTAAAATTCATTTACTCTTTCTTTGGAAGTCTTTTTTCCCCTCCTAAGACAGGGTTTCTCTGTGTATATATCCCTGGAACTCTTTCTGTAGACCAGGCTGGTCTGGAACCCAGAGATCCAAGTGCTGGGATTAAAGGTGTGTGCCGCCACTGCCTGGCTATCAAGACAATCTCTGAATGGGAATTTCATCCCTATAAAATAAAAAAGCAAGTTGCATGCTTCCAACACACAATGACACGGAATAAATTTTCCCACTACAAAAGGGAGAAATGAGAGTGTAGCAAGACTAAAAGCCATCAAGAAAAGCACAAAACTTCAGCTCCATCCATATCTAGCACCTGGCTCTTGTCGCTGACTCACGAAGACTCCAGCAGTCCTGCCTCTCCAGCGCTGTCCACGGGCGCTCACGCAGACTCTCCACTCTGTGCACGAAGCTTTCCCCAGTGGACACTTAATGGTCCTGATATTTCCAGCATCTTCTGGTTTCCACTGGAACTTAGCTTCATCTTCCCACTTTTTTTTTTTTTGGTTTTTCGAGACAGGGTTTCTCTGTGCAGTTTTGGTGCCTGTCCTGGATCTCGCTCTGCAGACCAGGCTGGCCTCGAACTCACAGAGATCCACCTGGCTCTGCCTCCTGAGGGCAGGGATTAAAGATGTGCGCCACCACTGCCAGGCCATCTTCCCAGTTTTAAGTAATCTACTTTCATGCCCTCCATGCAGGGAATCTTACCCGGACACACACTACTTGGCATCAGAGGATTTCTGGAATTTTGAATTCTGGAAATTTGGTATAAATCACCCTCCCCTCATGCATCTCTCAAGCTTGCAAAAGAATTGCCAGATGGAAGATGCTAAGTGTTGCTGTCGGTTTGAGATCTCGCCTGGACTTTGCTTGGACCACAGCTGTGGTGATGCATTGTGTCCCCCAATATACTGTGTCTCCCAATAAAATTTACCTGGGGATCAGAGGAAAAAGCCAGTCACAACACAGAAGTCAGGCAATGGTAGCACATGCCTTTAATTCTATCACTTGGGAGGCGGGGATCTGTTTGGATCTCTGTGGGTTCAAGGCCACACTGGGAACAGAGCCAGGCGCGGTGGTACACGCCTTAAATTCCAACACTAGTTAACCATGGAGGTCTGGAGGTCTGTACAGATAGACAGGAAGTGACAGAGCTGGGCAGGAAGAGGAAGTGATGTAGCTGGACAGAGAGAGCAAATCAGATGGCAGAATAGCAAGGCATAGAGGCATGGGTAGACAGGAAATAGCTCACCTTTTGGAAGCTGCAGAGTTGGTGAGGTAGGGTTAGCTGTGGTTTTCCCTATTTCCCTGATCTCTCAGGTTTTCACCGTTATATCCAGCTCCATGTTTTTTTATTTAATAAGACAGTTTAGCAATTTGTCTACACCACAGCTGCTGTGACCTTGTGTGTCTTTGAGGTTAACCTTAGGAAAACCCCTCTAGGTGGCCATTTTGCAGTAAGTATTCCCTTCAGCAATATCCCTCATATATAAAATTTACCATCACTATTCCTCCTCCTGGTGTGTGTGTGGGCACATATGTGTGTGGTACATATGAGGAGGTCAGAGAATAACACTGAGGAACTAGTTCTGTCCTCTGAGCCACCCCGCTGTCCCACAGATCTATTGGGACCATTCATGGTTGGGACCTTGCGCTAGGACATATCCTGTGGGACCAATACAGTCCTGTGGGACTAAGGCAAGTGTGAGATTTCTTTTGATGGTGTTGTCTTTTAACATTACTGGACTTCAAATGTGCACGCTTCCTTCTTATTCAAGCTGCTTTTCTTTAATCTTTCTGCTCTACTTGCTCTCACTGTGTACCCAGATAAGAACACTGAACAGTAACCATGGCACAGCTCGAGTGGAAGCACATCTTAGAATTTCTTCTGTCAAACAAATAGTCCATTGTTTTTAAATTCAGCTTTACTCAGGTTCTCACAACATGGGCAGAATGTAGCCAGATTCTCTAAAAACATTTTTTTCCCTTTTCATTGTATGTGTTTTGCCTCCACTTATGTCTATGTACCACATGCATGGCTGGTGTCTGTGGAGGCCAGAAGAGGACATTAGATCCCCCAAGAACTGGTGTTATAGACAGTTGGGAACCACCATGTGGGTGCTGGGAAGAGCAACCAGTGCTCTTAACCACTGAGTCATCTCTCCAGCCCTGCAGCAAGATTCTTTACCATATTACAACATGAATGACCTCTAGCTCAGTTTCCGAGAGAGGTTTTTTTGTGGTTTTTTTTTTTTTTGGAGACAGGGTTTCTCTGTGTAGCCCTGGCTGTCCTGGGACTCACACTATAGACCAGGTTGGCCTCAGACTCACAGAGACCCACCTGCCTCTGCCTCCTGAGCGCTGGGATTAAAGGTGTGGGCCACCACTGCCCGGCCCCAAGGAGTTTTGATCCCTGCTGAAACCTCATGAACTGTGGGCCTCCACTGTCCACACATCTCTTGGCACGCTACTGTCTCAACTCCTACCATCGTGGCCCATTGCTCTCCGCTTACAGCATTCTGGAGCTTTTCTAGATAGAATTCCAAACTCTTCCTCACTCCTCTTGCAAGCCAGGGCCAAAGCCTGTGAGCCACACAGTCAGACTGATCACAGCACTGGCTTCTTCGCTCTGTGGAACCCGTGGGCCCTGGCCCCCGACTGTGAGTGGCTGCCACCTTGCTTGCTGACCTTTACCAGATGTCCTCCCTATTCAGATTCGCTTCCGGTCTCCTTATCACCTAAGGATCACCGGAGAGCTTACCAGAGGTTCTTTGTTCCTACATCCTGTATTTGGTGTAAACAACTTAGATGCAAGAATGTAGAACATTGGGTCTAGAATGTAGACCATTGGTAGTGAACTTCTGCCCTCCGGGGATCCTCCATTTGTGTTGTAAGCCTGTATTTAAGGTTTCTTCCCACTTTCAATAAACGGCATTCGGCATTTGGCATTTGGCATTCAGCCGTGGTGAATGACTCGCTGTCTCTTGTCTCTATTTTTAATCCGCAGCCCCTTGCTCGGAGATGGTGAATGGGTATCGGTAATGCGGGCGTTACCGCTACATCACTCGACACCAGCTTTGCACATTAGTTACTTTTCTTTTTTTTCTTTTTTCTTTTTTTTTGGTTTTTCGAGACAGGGTTTCTTTGTGTAGCTTTGCGCCTTTCCTGGAACTCACTTGGTAGCCCAGGCTGGCCTCGAACTCACAGAGATCCGCCTGCCTCTGCCTCCCGAGTGCCGGGATTAAAGGCGTGCGCCACCACTGCCCGGCTCATTAGTTACTTTTCTTGCTGTGACAAAATACCCAGTGAAGGCCGCTTCAGGAGGGGAGGGTGATTGTGGCTCACAGTTTAAGAGTACAGGCCTTCGATGGGCGGTGGTGGCGCACACCTTTAATTCCGGCACTCCGGAGGCAGAGGCAGGCGGATCTCTGTGAGTTCGAGGCCAGCCTGGGCTACAGAGTGAATTCCAGGACAGCCAGGACTGTTATACAGACAAGCCTTGTCTTGAAAAACCAAAATAAATATATAAACAAATAAAAATAAAAATGAAAATAAAAAGAGTACTGTCGTCCTTCCCGGTGGGGAAGTCCTGGTGGGGTGGTAGATGGCAGCTCTTTACATTGTATCTGAAGTCAGGAAGCAGAGAAGCTTGTTCCTTTTAATGTTTAATGTTTTTAGTTAACACATATCAATCCTGCCTAACGATGGGTCTTATTGTGACATTTCATACATATGTGATGTGTTTGGACATGATCACTCTCCATTACCTGTTATTGTCCCTGCCCCATTTATTTCCCCACCTAGCTCATCTTCCTTCTACTTTCATGCCTTAAAATCTGTCTATCTATCTATCTATCTATCTATCTATCTATCTATCTATCTATCTATCTATCTATCTATCTATCTATCTATCTCATGTTCAATTGACGTTTTGCCTGCATGTATGTCTGTGGGAGGGTGCCAGAAACCCTGGAAATGGAGCTACAGGGAGGTGTGAGCTGCCATGTGGGTGCTGGGAATTGAACCCAGGTCCTCTGGAAGAGCAGCCAGTGCTCTTAACTGCTAAGCTAACAGTTGTTATCGTCCACAACTTGAACTAGATGTCTGCACACCCTCGGGCTTTTTCCTTTCATTCTGTTGAATGAATAATGGTGTTATTCTGACGGGCCTGCCTTAATATGTAAATCTGTGTTTTTCTCTAGCAGCTCTCAATAAGTTGTGGGGGGACCCAGAGCCCATACCCAGCTCTCTCTTCTCCTGCCAGCACTCCCCGCCCCTCCCCGCACCCCCGCAACTTGACCCCTCCCATCTGCTTCCTATCTGAACTCTGGCTCCTCAGCTGGGAATTTTATCTTCAGAATCGGACCTAGTAGGTCGCAGCAGGGCTGGATTCTTTGTTTCTGGAAGTCTTGTCTCCGTCCAGAGCTTGGATTACTTGGAGGTTGAACTTGAATTCTACCGGGTTGTGCAGCTGGTGGGCAGGGGCTCGGAGCCTCTTGATTCTGCACTGAGAAATGCTGTCCTGCTGTCCCCCAGCGTGCTGTGCAGAGGGCCTGAGGAGGCAGGCGACACCTTTGTCCTGGCTCAGATAGATGGTGTTGAAACCGCAGGAGCTCGTCCCTGCCTGGGGCCGGTGACTCTGAGTTGGCTCAGCGTGCTTCGGATGGGCTCCGCCCCCCCTCATTTTGGCCTCTAGCCGGGGCTGGGAGGCTGCAGCTAGGCCTGGGAAGTATGATTGGCTCAGCCCAGATCATCAGTGCACACAGTCAGAAGCCAGGAACTAAAACATTTCCAGAGTAGAAGAGGGGAGGTCTCCTGGGACTCATTGCTTCAGAGAGAAGGTGCCAGGCTTGGGGACACCGGGAAGCCCTTGACTGAACGGTGGAAGCTCTGTCTGCAGCTGGGGTGGCCCCGGGGAGCCCGCTGTCTGGAGGCCAGTGATTTCCGGTTACTCTGCCACTTCCCCGAGCTTTATTTAGTCTGGGCCAGTCTAGACTCTAACAGTTCCCCACTGTCTGTCGCTCTCCTTCGTGTTCTCTCTCACTGTCTCTCCCCTGCGTTGCCCTGGGTGTCCCTTCTCCTTGCCCTGTTCTAGTCCTCTAAGTCACTATCCCTGTCCAGTGATCCCCCGCAATCCATCTCTGTCTCCTGGGCCTCAGAATCTCACGCTCTGCCCATCTGCCCTGCAGGATGCTACAGCTGAGCCTGTCCTGGCTGGGTCTGGGGCCTGTGGCTGCCTCCCCATGGCAGCTTCTGCTGCTGGGTGGGGCCTTGTTCCTGGCCCGAATTCTGGCCTGGATCTATTCCTGGTATGACAACTCCTGCCGGCTCCACTGCTTCCCTCAGCCCCCTTCACGGCACTGGTTTTGGCGTCACATGGGCATGGTGAGTATGGCAGCAGGTGGGTCTGGTGTGTCAGGATGAATGTGTTCTCAGAGGATCAGGAAAGGTTCTTAGGAATCTGGGGGTCATGAGAGGGCTGGGGCCTGCAAATATGGAGAGGTGAGGGAGGCTCTGATCACACACCCAGCAGATCCACTCCTTGCCTGTCTGCCCACACGGTGCTCTGAGGCTTTCTTCTTCTTCTTCTTCTTTTGTTTTTTCCCCTTTTTTATCCCTAGCTAACTTTGGGTCACATTCTCATCAGGACTCATGGTCTGAGGTCTCATCCTGTTGTTTGTTCAGTACTGTTCTGTGCTGTAGTTCCAGGCCCCCAGGACAGGTTCCCCCATGTGCTCTCCTCATTTTCCACGGTTGGATTTGAGGCCCTGTAGTGGAAGGCATGTGGTGTGCCCCTTTCCTGGCCCATCTCTGTTGTCCTCAGGCCAGTGTCTGTACCTCTCCAAGATGCCTCTTGCTCTGTGGGAATGAGCTATGATCCTTACACCTCCACCTAGAGGGACACTGAATGTCAGAAGAGATGTGATCTTTCCTCTCCAACTCCTCAGGCTCTGTTCTTTCTTATCTAGTTCTCCATTCTCAAAGTGTGTCAAAGGACTCTACTGTCCAAGTTGTGCCGAAGTTGAGCACTCTGTTTTCCTTTGTGATGTTGAGATAAGACACTGAATGTCCTGTGCTCCCTATGAAAGGGTTCCATCACTATCCCAACAACAACAACAACTTCTCCTTCTCCTCCTCCTCCTCCTCCTCCTCCTCCTCCTCCTCCTCCTTCTTCTTTCTCCTCTTCTCCTCCCCCTTCTTCCCTATGTGGCCTCTTCCATAATGGCTACACTTTCTGGGAAGAGTTTCTTATTCTCATATCCAGTGTCTCTTTCTCCAGAGCTTCCTACCTCCAGAGCCACCCTTGGCACTCTGATGTCACCGGGAGGGCACCACCTCCAATAGCATTGATTCAAGTGCTGCTCTCTCTCACCACAGGCCTCTTTGCTTCACTGCTTGCCTTCTCTCATCTCCTATCTCCTCGGGACCTCCTCCTCTCCATCTCCCATCCAGGAGCTTCCTATTAGGCAGGTTTTCCCCAGATGGTAGACCCATATACATCATATATTTACCTGACTAGAACGGTGCATAGCCAGCAGAGGCTGGGGAATCCAGTCATGGCTATCTGCATGTTGGAGAGGCTGAGGACCCAGTAGCTTCTCAGACCACGAAGCTGGATGCTTTGGCAGTTCCGGTCTGGTGCTGAAGGCCCAGAAGATTCAGGAGAGTTTCTGATCTCCCATCAGCAGCTGAGTTCTGGTGGAGAAGAGACACAGTCACCACCAGGAAGTGAAGGTCCAGACATCAAGCAGCAGGTTTGACCTCAGACTTTAAATCTGGGCCACCTGTCAGAAGGCAATGCCCACTCTCAGGGAGGGTCTTCTCCCTTCAGTTCATCTTTCCAGGAAATCCCTCACAGACTAGCCCAGAGGATCATCTTAGTTAGTTCCAGTTGACAGTGAAGATTAACGGTCTGAAACCCTACCTGTTGTCAGCCTGACACCTAACCAAATCTCTGTGTCATGCTTAATTACCAAATAAAGATAATAAAGTCTCAGTTCCACTTAACATCATCTAAGCTTCATTCTCACAAAGGAATATACTATTATTTCTCCAGAGTAGATGGCAAAGTCCCATGAGGAATGCCTAACTACTGATGTTATTTTAACCAATGTTGTGTTACATGGTAAAGGATTAGGAGAGAAAAGAAAACATAAATTTCTGTATATTTGTGCATAAACGTATCCTTAACAAAACAGGACAGAAACACTCATGATAATGAAATCCTTGTTTCTGTAACTAATCATGAGATTTTAGATGGTATTCAATGCTGCTTTCTTCTACTACCCATTCTATATTTCCTCTACCCTCAACAATGTCTCATAAGCTCTTGGCTCTTTATCTGGAGGGGGTAATCTATACCTTCATCTTCCTTGAAGAACTATAACCATCCTGACTGGTTTGGGTTATTGGAGCTTCCCATTGACCTTAATCGCAGGACATGGTAACACCAAGAGAAGCCCTAAAAGATCTCCTGCAGTCTAGGCAATACTCTTCCTTCTATTGTGGATAAGAAGCCCACCCACTTTTCCTCTGGCGGTTTGGATCAGTCACCCTGTTAACACTATAACACTTATCTTATCCTGTTGATTCAAGGGAATAAGGAACACAAATTGGTCAAGGGGGAGAATTAGCTTCTGAGTCAATGGATATTTATCAAGTCTCTTGGCAGAAGCAACCTCCCATCTGGAAGCAAGTCTTGTAAGTCAGCAGAGCATATGATTGTGTGAACAAGGAAGAAAAAAATTGCTGGCGGGTCCCTAGAGGTGATCAGACATGGCACCAGTCTCATTTCCACCTCTTGCTTGATTCCTGAACTATAAACCCTGGTCAGAGGAGAATCGATGCCATGTACAGATTCAGAGAAGATAGAGCCTTCTGGAAAACCTGTCCAGTCATCTAAGTTATTTCTACCTATTTCACTGTAGCTGTGCCCTTAAAAGGCCATTCTGCCCTTCCTTCAAGCCATCCGCTTCAGGTTGGTGGGGGATGGTAAGACCACGATCAGGAACCCACTGCCTCACTTCTATGGCTGGGAAGTGAGTTCCTTTATTAGCAACCAAATTACGTGGCATACCACAGTGGTGGATAAGGCATTCTGTAAATGAATAGATGGTAGTTTTGGCAGAAGCATTACATGCAGGAAAGGCAAATTCATAACCAGAGTAAGTATCTATTTCAGAATGGACAAAACACTGTCCATTCTGTGACGGAAGTGGTCCAGGGGAATCAACCTTCTCAGGTCACTGACTGATCTCCCCATATTGGAGTCTCAGTGTTGGTCTCTGCTGCTGGCAGATCTGACACTCAATGGCAGCCATAAGCAGGTCAGCCTTGGTGAGTGGAGGCCTGTGTTGTTGAGCCCATGTATATTCCTGCCACCTTGTCCACTTTGGTCATGGACCCTTTCACCAATGACAGAGATGGCTGGGGAAAGATGTTAACTACTATCTACAGTACAAGTTACCCTATCTGCTTGATTACTGAAGCCCTTCTCAGCTGAGACCACCTTTTGCTGAGTAGTTATATGGATACATCCTTTGCCCATTTGGAGAGATCTACCATATGCCTTTCCCCAAAATGTCTTTCCAACTTTTTAATTATGCCACCTTTAAGAACCCTGACACAAAGCCAAACCATTGGCCACAGCTCAAGAAGCAGTATATAATCACATGCTTGACTATCTTCTTTTCCAAGCAAAAACATATGACTGTACACACTTTGGTAGATTTCTCTTCACTAGTGTCCTTCAGGGTTCAGAAATGCTGTAATGCTACAGCTATCCACTTTTGGGAACATCTGTAAATGTTACAGATGGAAACATCTGTAAATGCCTACTCTTCTGTTCAACAGATCACAGGACACACTTCATAAAGCTGTAGGTGCACGCTTAGGAACAGAAGGAGTTGTAAAAGGAGTAGGAACCATAGGCATTTTGGAATCCTCTTTAGTAATTTGCTGTGATTTCCTTCCATCACTAACCCACACCCTCAAAATCCATTCTCACATATATGTTCCAGGCCTCTTCTTATATAAACCAGAAACAACAAGAAGTTCTTCAGGAGTGTAGTATGACTTCTCATTGTGTATTCCATCTCTGTGGCCTGCTGACACTGGAATCTAGTTGTAGGTCTGGAAGTAAAGATGTGTGGTGAGGGTGGGTCCCGATTGGCATCAGAGGAAGTAGCATAGGCTATAGAACCTCAAAGCCTGTCCCTGGTGATGTATTTCCTCCAGCAAGGCTCTGCCTTCTAAAGGTTCCATGACTTCCCCAAACAGCATCACCAGCTGGGGACCAAGTGTTCCAATAACTGGGCTTACGTGGGACATTTCTCACTCAAACCACCATAGTAACTTTAGGTCTAATCAAATTGCAGAGTTAGCGCCAGATTCCAACAACAGCCTTCTCCATCCCCAGATCCAGAACAGCGAGGAAGGCCTGCAGCTGATGACTGAAATGGGCCACTACTTCCATGATGTCTACCTCTGCTGGTTTGGGGCTTTCTACCCCATCCTGACACTCACCCACCCCAAGTTCATTGCCCCCGTGCTCCAGGCTCCAGGTATGTCTCTCAGGATGGAATTACTGGTCTGTTCCCTTCCTTTTCTCCAAGCCCTTCCCATCCCTGCACGGGCCAGGCTGGGCAGGGGAGGATGGAGCCATGTCAGACAGAAGTCAAGCCAACCCTGCTGCTAACTGGACTGACCCTTGGCAAGTTTTAGGGTTTCTCTAGATACTGAGGTCTGTTAAGTGAGTGATGGAAATTCAACCCAGTGTGGTCTTCTATTGGCTGGGGGTGCAGCTTTGCAGTGGGGCACTAGTCTGCAATGTACAGGGCCTTAGGCTGCATGCCCAGGCACTGAAATACAAACAAACAAACAAACAAACAACAACGTCAAAACAACTAAAGAAATTTGCTGGCAGAAAAGTCCAGGGAGAGTGGGAGAGTGGTCTTCAAGCACAGCTGGATTCAGGTCTCAACAATGCTGCAGGACATTTATCTCTTAATTCCATCTTCCTCGGGGACAACTGCATTCTCATGTGGAAAAACATGACCCCTAATAGCTCAACACCTTGAAAAAGATCCCTGTGGGTCCAGGATGAGTTCTGGGACTCCTTAACTTTGTCTCATTTGGGTGATAGGACAGCTTCTTCACCCACCACTGTGACTTGATTGCCTCATACTCTTTTAGACATAAAATGACAAATAACCACTCCATCAATTCAAAGTGCATCCCCCCCCACCAGGGTTTCTCTGTGTAGCCCCTAGCTGTACTGGAACTCACTCTGTAGATGAGACTGTCTCCGAACTCACAGAGATCCACCTGCCTCTGCCTCCTGAGTGCTGGGATTAAAGGCGTACGCCACCACCGCCCAGCCTGTTTTGTGCGTTCTTAAAAAGAAGCAAAATAGAAGAGGACAAATGGCACTTTGTTTTCTTTTCTTTCTTTTCTTTCTTTTCTTCTTCTTCTTCTTCTTCTTCTTCTTCTTCTTCTTCTTCTTCTTCTTCTTCTTCTTCTTCTTCTTCTCCTC